TATAACCATCTAGTGCAACTTACATTTTCAGCTGACACTGATACTGCTCCTTCATATGGAATGCTGCTGCTCAGCACACCCACAAACAGACATTGTTAAGTTTGTTATAAAGAATGAAAACAAGCCTGGAAAAGCATGATGAGTATGAAAAGGAACAAAATTAATCATGAGCATATTCCCTAACCACAGTTTACGCCCAGCATCCCCTGCATTCATTCCACAACATGAATTAACTTGTGCTGACAGCCACAAATACGCTGGGCTACTACAGGGGATCAAAAATAGCTTTCTTCCTGCTTTGCTCAAACACACATCCTTGCCTGTGGATATCCTACAAGGATGTTGAACATACATTTTTCTCTGTGTGTGGCTGTGTATCATGCGTGACAAGCACATTTAGCGAGCAAACAAAGCAGAAGTCACCCCAGAATGGTAAATCCCATGTGAGAGCTCAATCAGGCATGCATCCACTGATAAACACAGAAACAAGGACCCATGCAAGCCCAAAATGGTTAGTGGAGAGAACCACACAAAGGCCTCTTTTGAACTTACTCGTGAGCGCATGAACAGGAAAACTACCTATTTCAGACAACCTGTCAGATAGAGCCTTTATCATGGGTAGGTTTTAGCTTCACATAAATACCAATACATTCATTATTATTAATCTAATTATCTGATTAGGTTCACTTAAAATGTTTAAACTTTAAAATACATTTGAACAGTTTGGAAAAATGTCAATTATATGCGTTATGCGTGGGATAAAACGGAAAGTATCTCAACATAATGCAACAGAGACAGATCTCTGATTGAGGAGGTGCAGCTGGAGACGTGTGAGGGGCATGAACTCAAGTCAACCCCAGTACGTGCAACCGACCTCAGCATCTGGACAAATTCCTACCCTAACCTGACTGTCCAGACGGCTTACAGACATCCACAGTCAGCACACTGTGTCTCTGACTTCCTTTTAGAAACAGGTCTGAATCAGCTCACGCACTGACAAAATAAATGGTTCATCAGCTGTAAAAAATTAGAAATCACAGAATCTTAGACGATCTAGCTGGTCAAGGCTTAGAAAATTCACATTAGGTCTACGTGCGAGATTTGAATTGATGTTAATTGGTGTTTTTAAACTCCCACACCACAGTTATCACAGATTAAATCCATCTTGCTATATTTCATAACTTTAAATTTGTCTTGTTATACAAATCATGACCTCCAAAGCCACTTGTTACATCAAAGAACCAGCTGTTAACAGTCTCAGCTCATGACAAACCAAAAGTAAATTAAGCAAACTTAGACACTAACAGAGTTTGAATATAGTCCGTGGAGAACACAGAGGAGAAAATTTGATGTTAAGCTGGGCTTTATGTAAAAGGATGACTAGTGGAAAAATATTCACATACACATCATCCACCTTAGAAATATTGACGTGCCACTGGCCATACCACACAGCTGAATCAACACCCAACATGGGATTCGTTTTGACAGTCTGTGAGGTTTGTCACATCATTTCTACATTCAGAGTACAATTATATGGAAGTGGATAACATTTCCGCAGACCACAGCATGGAAAGGGCCTGACTTACTTCTGTTTTCTGTTTTGTTTTTGTTTTTGGCTCAACCATTTGGTAAACTTTAGTAAGATTTTTACCTGAGGCTACGTGTGTATTTGCACCTGTACAACTTTTTAAATCTCGGCAAAAAGATCACGTGTATTACAGGAAAAAGCCTAGCATCTACAGACGACGAGAGGAGGAAAAAATGAACCAGAGGAGGGAGGAGCTGAGCTGAACACACACACACACAAATTGAATACCGACACGCACAGACACACACGAAATGAAAGGTTTGACATGTTCTAACAAGCTCCCATATGAAATACAAACTGTAAGCAATACAACAAAGGCTCATAATTACACATGTTCTGAGATTGTCGTGTGTGCTATAGTAGCTAACTTAACTTTGTTTATACTATTTTGCTTCGGTTGAACTTCTGTTCAGTGTGGTCTCCGAATAGTAAAAAGTTGATGTTATGTAATAGCTAGGTGAGATATTACTTACATACAACGATATATTACTTACATTAACATAGTGATTCGAATGCTAGGTAGACCCTACAGCTAGCCAGCGCTACGTTAGCTAAATGAGAACAAGGTAACGTTTACATGGACATCACGTACCTTACAGTATTTTGATGCAGTATTCATCTATTTTCGTTGTTCCAGTGGGGGTATTTCGCTCTACAACATATAAACTGCCAATGAACCTAACATTTATCCCGTTTTAGTTATGACAAAAGCCCCCAACCCCACAAACTTTAAGTGTAATTTCTCGCTGCCCATAGGCGTCTGACAAGTGAGAGAAGCAGGAAACATCAGTCTTTCCTGGCCGTAGAAAGTTCCAATGAAATTTGTCACGGGACCTCACAGCTACAACCACTGTTAAGTGACAGAGAACAAACAAGTGTACTTCCGATACGGCATTTCAAAATATAACCAGAGAAAATACCAGAAGTAGTCATGTGGTTGAATACTGATAATACATTTTTTTTTTTTTTTAATGTACATTTTACTACACTTGATTTAGACTAGAACAGCTATAGCTACCAGTTAAGTTGCAGTATAAGGTTTTATACAAAACATACGACCATCTTATAAACCAGCTATAACATTAAAATTCTGCTTACACATAAATGCAACAGTATTAATAATCAATTCATTTTCAATTCTATGGTTTTAAATATCATTTCCTTTTTCTGTGGTATTTTTATAGTGTGGTATCTGTACTTTGATTATTAATTATTACCTATTATTTGAGGTGATATTGCAATTTAGTGGTGCCTATACTCAGATGAATCTGCCATTAATCAAATTACTAAAGACCATGCTCATAATAAATCCTGCCCTGGGGTATTTGCCCACTTGCCAATGACATGAGCAGCAGAAGAAATCTGCTCTGTACAAGATGGCCTTCAAGATCTTTACCCATGACATAAGTTGAAAATAATGGAGTAGTGTTTGCATAGCACTACAGAAAATACAAGTTTTTAAGACAGCTTTTCATACTTCTTCTGTTATGTTTATCTAGTATTACAATATCATGACATGTTTTTGTGATCACACTTCACGTAATTATTTCTTTCGAATTGACACGATTCCAAACAAAAGGCTTTTATTTTTCGAGGCAAACTAAGTATTTCCGGTCTTGTTGTGGTTCCTTTAACACAACTTTTTTTAGACTGAGAAATGACAACATTGAGAAGTAAAACAGTTAAACAGTGTCACCTACAGGTAGAAAGGCAGGACATGCGTAACATCCAAAAATCCTCCTGATCACGTTAATTTTACATAGACAGACAACGAGAGTTCATCGTCCATAAACGTCAGAAAAAGAAATGAATAGATGAACAAATAGGAATGTTTAAGATAATATGACAATTATGACTTAGTCCAAATATAATATAATACATCAAATATTCAATAAAAATTATTAATGAATTAATTACAAGTGACAAGTGTGGAATATCTCCGAATATATCTCCAAATTAACAAATGGGGTTTAAACTTCGAGTGCTGATATGTCAAAATCCATACAGACGCATTGCACCACTTACCCCTTAAAAAAAAGCTATGTCCCGAGTCGACCTACCTGCCATGAGCTGATACTACGCAGTCGAATAACAACCAGAGATGCTGTGATAAAACAAAAGGAACAGTGCAATTTGTAAACATAACATACATGAGATAACATAAATAAACACATTTTCAGTGGTAAATATTGTCTTAATATGCATTAAAGCAATAAACCGTGCAAAAAAGTTTTGTCCAGAAGGTGTCAGCAGAATACAATCCAAAGGGGCTGTAGAATGTATTGTGGGCATGCAAGAGGCTGAATGCTGTAAATATTCTCTAGAACCTTTGCATGAATATCAAGCCTTTAATATTATGCAGTTATTATCTGATTTATTACAATAGCTTCTATCCCTTGCAAGTCACCACATTGATGTAATGTCAATGCAAAGGCACTGGCCTTAGGAAGCAGCAGCATAAAGTGACATAACTCACCCATAAAGCACTCCAATATAGATATGCACCCTCTGGTAAAAAAAAAAGAGAAAAAAAGCTATATTCCATGTTCAGTAAAGCTATCTGTTTTTGTGAATACGTTTTATAATACGTTTTGTTCAACATCAACACTTATAACATTTCAGCCATGTGGATTAAGGAACAGAATTGGAGATTAGATTCATCGCGCTTGTTTCCAGTGAAATTGAGGGGCTGGAAACCTCCTGACACCCCCTCAAGGGGGCCCCTGAAAGTCCCCGCACCCCATATTGAGCCACCACCGCCCTGATGAAAAGATCCATTCTCCTGCATAAGGTGACAGTACAGTTATCTGAACTAACGCCCGCCTCCTCAAAATTTTAACCAATGAAACTAAACCTCCTTCAACTTCTTACCAATCACCCGCCAACATCTCTTCATCTGTGACCTATCAGTTTCGAGTACTGACTCTTCTTTTCACAGCCCCATTCTTGCCCAATCAGAAGCGAGGCCGCCTGCGCAGAGGGCTGGGCGCGAGAATCGGCGGGATGGACAAAAATCATAACGCCAAATAGAAGTGCAGAAAAGTAAGATAGAAACAGCCCGGACAGAGAGTAATGGGAGTAACGTGTTAGTCTCTCCATCTTAATATCGACTTTTTGTTGCGATATTTTCTTTTTAGAGAGAAGTAACAGAAGAGACACAGTGACGTTTTCCTTTGGAAAGATGTTATTGACCACAATCAAGGCTTTTACCGACAGAGCGTAATGTTATGGACTGCAATAAGTTAGCGCGCTGGCTAGCCGAATAATGCTAGCTAGATACTGCCACGGCTCAGAAGAAACCAGCAATGACTGACAGCGATTTCTATGGATACACATCTATTAATGTGGATTTTTAGAGAACTGCCAAACACAGGTTCGTCTTTGAAAAGGTTCAATCATCCCACCGACTGTCATGGACAACGCGAAAACACGCAGGTGGGTGCCAGCAATAATAGTACAGTGCTGATTATCCAGTGCGCTAGCCATCTGTCACAGTAGCGAGTGCTTCTGTGCAGCTCGAGTAAAAATAACATCAGTTGGGTTTCGATCAGTGAGCTGTGAATGCGGAGTGGACATTCACACGGCAAGTTTCATCTCTGACAACTTAACATATCCTGCATGTGCACCTGCACAGTTATATTATAAGGAGGTCCACCTATGAGATTTATGAACGGTAGTGAATGAGGAGTACCTATAATAGATACATAATAATGAACGGTTCCTCTCTCAGTAGCCTGAAAATAAGTATGGATAGTGTGAAATATAAACGATATTTAAAAGTATAGCTTGTAAATCCGAAACGTGTTCTAAACATGGGCTACACTGTTGTTTTCTAAATGTTGTTGGAACTATAAAGACAGCGAATAATATATTTTGCTCTGCATGGGAGGCGCGCAGCACACAACAGTAGTTATGTAACAGCAGCATCATTGGAAACACATTACTTTAAGGTGACAGGTCAGTCAGATAAGTTGCAATAAATAAAAGTTTTTACAAGTCAGATTCTGTGCTCTCCGAATCAAAAAACAAGGCACAGATAAAAAAAAAAAGCTACGTCAAATAAAATATGTTTCATCTTTTGACATTTGGTCCTACTGCAACACTGTGTTGCTGCCACAAGAAAAAAAAGCCATTGGGGAAAAGTACCTAAGAGTTTCCAAAGCCCTCCTTTGTTCTTCAGAAACCCCACTTTCAAAAAGTACCTGAGAAGACACAGAGTGTGTTTGTGATTAGACTTTAGAAGTTATATTGGCCTCATGAGTTATAATGACCAAGGTCTTCAGAATATTGATTGTTTACATTCAACAACAGTAAGATGCATAATATTAAAGATATTTCCAATCAAGTGCTGTCAAGTTTGTAAGTATTTGTATCAAAAACATACAATTCATGATAAAATGATAAGTCAATTAAGTTGTTAGTTGATCAACACAATATCAATAGAAAACTATATTGATAATGGATTCATCTTATCAAGCCACTGATCAAGCAAAAATGGCAAATATTTGCTGGTTCCACCTTATTTAAAGTGAGGATTTGCTACTTATTTCAGATTTTTAATGTCATAAATTAAATAGGTTTTGGACTGTTAGTCTAGCAATTTGAAGAGGTAACCTTAAGCTGTAGGAAATGATGATGGCAAAAATGAAAATAATTGTTAATTTACTGATAATTATGTGCATTTATTTTGAATTAGGTGTTTTTATCTCATCCTCACCAAATACCCCTCCTTGTTTTCACATCTGGAGAGAGTTCATTGGCTATTTTGAACTGCACATCCTGTATCTTACAATATCCTATTAACTGTTTATGACTAATGATGAAAAATCACTAATGCAGGTATTACAGTGAATGGTTGGTACATTGGGGTCTATGTTAAGTGGGTAAATAAGGTGTTAAACAAAAAGTTAAGAGGTTATATAAGTCTGGCTGTTTTTGAAACTTTTTGAACAACTGGACCGTTAGGACTTTGCCATTCCCCTGACCACACCCCAGTGCACCGCCTCCTCCATCTAAATGACGCACACACACTCGCACACCTCTGGAGGTGAAAGAGCCTGTTGATGTGGGATTGCCCCTCTCCTGCAGCCCCTTCATGCCCCTCCTGCCTGTTCAGCCTATGGTCCAGAATCATTTCCCCACTTCGCTTTGCTCTAGTGAGGGAATCAGGCCACACCAAAATTTCAACTGGCATGTTCAAGTTTCCACACTGAGGAAGAGCTTTCAACCACAGTCTGATACAAGCCCTGAGGAAAGCAGTGTTTTCCTCTCATGTGTGCTTTCAAGTACATTGTGTATTTGTGATTGCTAAGCTTTTCTATATGGTAATACATCTTGGGAACAGCAAACTTAATTTCTCCTTTATTTATTTAAGTCTGCTCCACTGCCACAAAGAAAGTGTTGCCCAGCAGCAAGTTTTATGGGAACACAGACATCCAGTGTTACCTGCCAACTTCTTGTGTCAGTAGAGAGGAATTTTGTGTTCTTGTATGTAGTCATACATGAATACATGAATACATGTTGTTTCTTTCTTTTTCACTCTGACAAGGTTCTGATAAATCCTATCATGGTCCTCTAGATAAGACAGTGACTCATACAGGGTTATCATCTTACTAAAAACATGTTACTTGAGTAATTTTTTGCGTTGCTAGAATGACTGAAATCCTTTTTGTGTTCCCTTTTACTCTATTTCCTTTTATTGCTTGTGTTGGCTGTGATCTTGAAACTGTAGTGGCCGACCACAACCAGCGAGTTTACTTGCTAACTTGCATACAGTGTGCATTGATGTTCTTCTTACACTAATTGAAGCTTGTCAAATGAAATTGACAGATGCTGCTTCATGGGTCACAGTGATTAGTTTTCAGTAGCCACATCTTTCTCCACACTTCTTTGAACCTGCATCAAAGAACAAGAAAACCTAGTTAAATTGACAAATTAATTAAAAATCTACTTAAAGCTGAGCCTTTCCCAAGTATTCTCCTTTACCCTGAGAGCCTGCTCACTGACAGAATATCCTTATAGAGAACTTTGCATGTATGTATTTGCACAAGCATAGATTTTAATTCATGTCTAATCTGGGTACAGCAGTTAGTAATTTCCATGCATTACTATATTCATATTGCTATTCCTGCTTAGAATCATTTACCTTATAAAGACATTTTGGCTTCACCAAAAAATCTGCTCTTCTCTTACTCACTCCACATTTGCCCTTTGTTTTTTTAGCAATGATGAGGATGAAGAGCTGCACTCCACAGATCCAGAGAGTAAAGAGAAGAGCAAAGATAAAAAGACACTGTGCAAAGTAAAGTGGTCCCGAGATGAGGTAAGTTTGTTGGGAGGTCTGCACTCACAGGGGTTTTGTAGGTTATTTGAGTGTTTGAAATGGAGACTTTACACTGCATGAGATTTGTATTTTATCTTCTTGTAAATAAGAGCGTGTTTAAGTACATCATAGGGGAATATTATTGATCACTGCTGTTATTTTGTTCAGTAATACAATGAAGAAAGTTCATCCTGTAGTGCCTTCACTCTGTCTCTTTTTCTTTCTCTTTCCTTCCTCTCCCTGTTTTAAGGATGAAAAGCTGAAAAAGCTTGTCGAGCAGCATGGAACTGACTCCTGGAAATTAATAGCCAACTTTTTTCCAGTAAGTATACAGTGTAATGCATTGTGATAATTAAGAATATTATGTCATTGCTTCGTGCAACACCGGTCCACCCTTTTCCATTCCAACAGTTAATAACCACCCGAACCATTTAGAAATCCCATAATTCACATTATTCCTAAATAGGATGTTTTCAACAGTGATGGTGAGTCATGCGAGCAGTGACTGGAGAGGCAGATGTATTTACAGCTGTCATGAGTAGGTATAACTGTGAAGCAGTGGATTGGTGTAATGAGGTGTTGCGCTTTGTGTGTCTCTGTCACAGGGGAGGACAGATGGCCAGTGTCAGCACCGCTGGCAGAAGGTGCTCAACCCTGAGCTGGTGAAAGGACCCTGGACAAAAGAGGAGGATCAAAAGGTAAGAGGAGATGGGAGTTTCTGTTCTGGACAGAAAGAGGGAAGACTAAATAGGTAAATGATAGGTGAGACAGAAGGAAGCTGTTGGGAGTGCTAAAGAGCTTAGTTTAAGTGAAAGAACACAATACAAACACAAATGCCACACTGTGCAATGTATCTTTTACCTTCAGACCAACAGGGCTGTGCACATGCGCAAGCTTCCTTCCCGCCAAAAACTTCCTTTGCTTAAGCTTCTTGTTTTCTTTTTTGCAAAGTCAATTCTCCACTACGTCATCCGTAATAAAACACAGACTTTCCAAGTCACTAGTTTAGAGCCGAGCCCTTCTTTGTACAGATCGAGGCTCTGATGTCTTCCACAGCTCTAAGATGAGCAATGCATTCCTTAAATGGATCACTGTTCTTCAAGAATGTCAAGAATGGTTTCTCATTCCTGTGAAATCTTGGCATCATAACAGAAACAAAGAGCTATCAATAATAGCCGGGGCTGCCAGCGATGACATCACACCGTTTTTCAGCTGGAACAGAAACAGCCAAACAAGCTCTGCTGCTTCAGTCAAAGTTTTCTTAACACTGGAGCTGCTGTTGGCTATAAATACGCAAAGAAGAAAAATGTGATTTCCCTCTTGATACAAGCTTGTAGCCTGAATGAATCCATGTACGGTCTTACTCCATCCTTTCATATGAGTGTGTGGATTATAATGTTCTGATTTAGAAATCAGAACCACCTGCTAAATATCCATCCTTTGGTGATGTTTGTCTAGGTTATCGACCTGGTACACAAGTATGGCCCCAAGCGTTGGTCGGTGATCGCAAAGCACCTCCAGGGGAGGATCGGAAAGCAGTGCCGTGAACGGTGGCACAATCACCTCAACCCAGAGGTGAAAAAGTCTTCATGGACTCAGGAGGAGGATCGAATCATCTATGAAGCCCACAAACGTCTGGGCAACCGCTGGGCAGAGATCTCCAAGCTGCTTCCTGGACGGTAAATATAACCTCACACATTCATTCCATATCTCTGCATCCAGTTTAAGTAAAGAGATGATAAAGAGGTGATCTGGTACAAAAATCCCATCTCCTCCCCAACAGGACAGACAACTCCATCAAGAACCACTGGAACTCTACCATGAGGAGGAAGGTGGAGCATGAGGGCTACCTGCAAGATGACTGCAAGACTTTGACTTCCTCTCATACCGGAGCGAAAAGACGCCACCACAGGCTGTGTCCTCCAACTCCAGCAGAGCCACAGAACTGTGATCGCAGCCCCCTGTCGATACTGGGGCCCAACCAGGTCCACTTGCAGTTTTCACTTCAAACTTATATGGTGTTTTAATCTCTTTTGTTTTTGTCCTCAGTGAGTTTTTACCTGAGCGTGTTTCTCTGTGTTTCAGATGGGGGGATATCCATATGATCCTCACAGTGGACATGTGATGGACAGTGTTCCTGAAAACTCAGGCTTCATACCGGTGAGTCTTTGTGGGTTTCTCTGCATGCTGGTGGGGACAACTTGTCACATTCTTTATTTTTCTGGACTTTCTGTAGATATCCTTGTGATTGCTAACTCTGGACTTCAAGTCAAATACTTGAATGTCCTGTTATTTTCATCTAACATTCAATAACTTACAAAAGGGGGTAAATCTCCATTGCTCCCGTAAATATTTTATGTGTAAATCTGTTTTTTTTTTTTTTTTTTGTCTGGTTTTCTTAACTCTTTCCTTTCCTCCTGTCCTCTTGACCTCTCCTCCCTGACATTTGTTTATTCCAGCCATCCTGCCTGGATGATCCTGACAGAGAGCAAAGAATTAAGGAGCTTGAGCTGCTGCTTATGTCAGCAGAGAATGAAGTCCAGCGACAAGTGCAGTGCAGAGGTCCATGTGTAAGAACACACTCTGAATGTGTGTTAGCATATTTAGCCAGCATAGCCCGCCTGTGTCTGTAGCTTACATACACTGTAAAAAGGGTCATTTTAATATTGAATATGTTACTTAAAATCAAATTAAAGTGAGATAAAGGCAGAATCTTACAAATTTTCTTGAACCAGATGTTATTTTTTAGCCTTTATCTGGTTTGATTAAATAAAATACTCTGACATTTGACTCTAAAAAATTCCCAAATCCCATCTCCTCAGTTAACTTTACCTCGCTTTAAGGAAAAGAAGATTTTAATGCTCAAGTCTAATTGACTCAGTGATGGACTTTTTGCAGTGTATACATGTGAAAACAAGATTGGTACACATCTATGCGTGCCTGTAGCCTGGTTTGCTGTAGTGTTGCTATAGTAACTACCTTCCCCATCTTGCTACTCATTCAGACTGGCCTGAGGCTTTGCTTGGTAGCCACCTCCACCCCCTATTACCATTGTTCCCAACATGAACCTGCTCCCTCACCCCCCCCCTCCCCTCCCCTCCCCAGTCCCCATGGCCACGCTCAGCCAGCAGTTTGGTTTTGAACCAAGCACTCTCTCCTGTTCCTATTCTGTTCCCCTCAACATTGTTTTCACATATCATTCACCGCATTCATTTACTACCCCATTCTTCACAGACTTCATAGTGTAAGATTTAGTGGTCAAGACTGGTTAAATACAGTGGGGTCCACTTTAGTCTCAGACTTTTGGACACCACTGTATTTTATAGTATCACCAGTGTTTTCCACATTTTCTTCCTAGTCACAGATCATTTCAAATCTGATGCATATTTACAATAATTTTACATGACATCTGCCAGTTTCACATCAAATCAGACACCAAACTGCAGCTGGATCCAAAGATCTAACACCAGTGTTGTCTCCCTCCTGTCCCTCAGAGCTTGGAGCAGTATTCAGCGTGGTCAGACAGCGTGTCAGATGACACGTTGACCACAAGTAGCAGCAGCCTGGAGGAGCAGGCAGAGAGAAGACCCTGGACAGGACCTGAGATTCCCCAGGGTCCTCCAGCGCCGCTTCCTGTCTCTCCCAGCAAGTTCCTGGCTGTGGAGGCCAGCACTGTGCTCTCCACCCTGCAGACCATACCAGAGTTTGCAGAAACCATGGAGCTCATTGACTCTGTAAGTAAAAGAAAGAGCACAACAGGGAACAAATGGAAAGCCGTATGAATTTGTTGAAAATACTCAGGAATATATTAAAGATCTACTGTAGATGTGTCTTGCTCTGCAGGACCCTGTTGCATGGAGCGACGTGACCAGTTTCGACCTGTCAGAGACAACGACGCCGCCCAGGCACAATCAGGCAGGCTACACCACTCTCCTGCAAGAGAGGACGATTGATAATTCAATGGGCTACACAGTCAATACATCGACCGCCATTTCAGGCCGAGACAAGAACTGTGCTTCATTTGGTCTGGGCAGTGTCACCTCCCTGACTCCCATCAACTCATCCAAACCCTCCCAGGGATCCATTGGGAGGAGGAAGAGAAGAGAGAAAGGGGAACCGTCTCCTTTGTGCGACAGGACCTGCTCTTCTTTTTTGGAAAATAACTCAAATTCTCCCAAGAAAACGCCCACAAAGTCACTGCCATTTACCCCGTCCCGAGTAAATGAAATCTGTTTTTCTTCACATTTCATAATCCCAAAATTTGTGGTTGCTCTGGTCATGTGACTGACGTGCCTCGTGTGGTTGTTTCCCCAGTTCTGCAACATATCGGGGGTGGAGCACCTGAATCTGGATAACCCTGCCCTCACCTCGACTCCCGTGTGTGGCCAAAGGTGTCTCCTTTACACACCGGTCCACAAAGAAACCACACCTAAGCACCAGAAAGAGAATGATGGGTAAATAACTATATAAAAAGCAGTATACATCTTTCCAGAGCTGGCATAACAACCTACTGTTACTATTCTTTGTGGGGATTTGCCACAACGTTTAATCAGCTAGTTAGAAGGAGTCTACTCTGTGTGTAATATTCTCTGTTAACTCTCTAGTTCACGGACCCCCAAATTCCGTAAAACTGTAATGATTCCAACCCCAAGGACACCGACTCCTTTCAAAAATGCTTTGGCTGCTCAGGAGAAAATGCACGGGCCCCTGAAGATGGAGGTAAGACGTCAAATGCGGCCTTCTGTCTGCATTTACCTGTGCGTCTGCATTCATGATAACTTTCTTATACATACAGTCTATGCCTGCCTGCTGCCGTGGTTACATTTATGTGTCCTTGTGTTTTTCAGCCGCAGCCTTTGGCATTTCTAGAAGAGGACATTCGAGAAGTTCTGAAGCAGGAGACTGGAGCAGACATCTTCAACAGAGCAGACGTTCAGCCAGACTACAGAGCATGGAAACATAATGTATGTGTTGCATGCACACCTTCTGCCCCATGATTAATCTGCTCTGTTATCAGAAGAAATTAATAAATACAAATGTTTTTTTGTTGAAATAAATATTTTAACACATACTTACAGATATACAAATTAAAAAATGTCCCTAAACTTAATCATAGCACTAAAATAAAATTGCAGTCTGTCGTTGATGGAAAAAAAAAAATTTATGTTTGTGTCCTTTGATTTCAGATGGATGGCCCAGCTAGAAAAGTGCGCAAGTCCCTTGTGCTAGACCCTTGGGGGAAGGACTGCCTCAACGTCCAACTCTTCCAAGAGCAGCTCAACAACGCACAAGTAAGTCACTTCAAGGACACTTGTTTAAAATCACTGGATCAGATCCTGTAGCTAGATGTGAAAACTAACTTGATAACTATTACTGATGTGTGCTTGAGTGGGGCACCTAACCTCTCAGTGAACAGCAGCAGAGAGATGTGGTTTACTGCTACTGTATTCATGCTTGACCTGTTGATTCGGCGTTTGGAATTGTCTCTAAGTGTAACAAGACATTTAACACGCTTTCATATTTGAATTGAATTTAGTGTCACCATTCCTTTTCGTTGTTAATCTACTGCTTTATTATAAACTACACCATTCACTGAAGGTCATATTGCAGGTGCCAGAGGAAAGTCTACTGACAAGCTCCTCACTGATCACCCCCGTCCCTGAGCAAGAGGAGTGCAGCCGCCCTTTGACGTCTGCGAGAGAGGAGCCCTCACTCGTCCCTGTACATCAACATCGCTTTACGAGCCCACGGGTGAAGAAGCTCCCCGCCTCCCACAAAGCACCAAAACACGCCGCTGTGCAGGTATGTGCGTCATTTATGGTTTTATGGTATAGCAGCGGTGGCAGAGATCTTCTGCCAATATGGTACATTGCAAACAAAATGATGTGAACTACAGATACAGGGTCGTGGAATAATAGCTCTTGGTCATTTTCTCTGCAGGTGAGTGAGTGGGAAGCAGTGGTTTATGGGAAGACGGAGGACCAGCTGATTATGACAGAACAGGCCCGTCAATACCTGAACCCTTACCCGTCGTCTGGCTCTACCTCAAGGGCCCTTGTGCTTTAAAGCCGTCCCTTCGCTGCGCAGGCAACACTACTACGCCCATCCAACAACTAAAACCTCCACTGAATCCTGTAAGAGACAATCCAGTGAAGACAAATGATTTTATTTTTTTTCTTTTGACGCAGAAATGCACTGCCAAGGACGTCCACAAAAAGGCATGGCTGCTGGTTTTGTTTTTCAACACGTTTCTAGGTAACTGCCCAAGTACTTCGTTGTTTATAGATTTGGCCTGTACTTTCTTTTGAACACACACAACTTGGCTACGTGAGCAGTTTTGTACAGATATGAAGAAGGCTAGATTTTTTTTTCTGCACTAGTCAGTAATGTTGAAACAACCTGCACATACCGTAGGCTGTAGAAATAGTGTTTATTACTAGCAGTGGCTGCTTCTGAGTTTTATATTGTTAATATATTGTTTAAATAACAAGAAAGACATTTTATGACGTAACGCTACTCATTGTGTATCTCCTCCAACTTGTTTTGCTAAACTGCCCCATTGCTGTGACCAGATAAAAGCCACGTACATGCAACATTTTGTAGCTTATTATCAAGACCCGTGTGTTTTTAAAATCGCACCAGGGGTTTCTAAACAGACACATACAGTACAGAATATCATTTTAACCGTCGCTTTTACATCAGAGACACAAAAATGAAGGCGTGTGGTTTTTCTGGGACAGCAGTGTTACATTGCTGAATGCTTATCCATGGTGATGTGAAGTTTTTTGCGGATGGAAATAGGAAGCTGTCAGTATTGCACTACTGAGTTGATTTTGCTGCTGAGAAAGGAGCAATGTTTTTAAGGGCAAACTGGATAGCACTTGTGATGGTATCTTTCTTTTTTTTTTTTTTTTTTAACAACACGGCGTTTCCTTTCCAAGGCCATAGTGTCCGTCGAGACATCGGTTGAATGTATTTCATTGCAATGTACATGTGTAAGAACCTCAAGAATGGAAGGGTACCTTTATGTTTATTTCTGTTTGTTTTATTTATTATCTGACAGCTCTAAAGCTTAGATATTAATATAAATCGGATACCAGGAGTTTTTTCTTTTTTTTTTTTCTTTTTTTTTTTTAAGAAGTTTAACATTGCTGACAAAACAGCCTTAAAACCCTCACTTACTCTAAAAGCAGTTCTCTCTGTAATCCAAAATGAATAGTCACCATTTCTTTGGTCAGTCGATTCAGTGTGTCACGGCCTGTGCTGACCAGTTATCATATCATCAGTGTTCTACAACAGGCATTTGGTCAAGAAGGATTTACTTTTTATGTGAAGGCTGTAGGTTTTATTTATTTAATGTCTACTAATTTATTTATTTCTTTAAAAAAAAAAACATTTAAGAGAAATTATTGAAGAATTTTATTGTCTTTTTCAAAATCAGGATTGGGCTACCATTCAGTTTCATTACTCCAAGTTAGAAGAACATGCACTGCCACTAATTTAATGTTAATTTCTTTTCCTGAACTGGCAAGATCTAGCAAGTAATCATTGTGTAGTTGAATCTGTGATCTTGTAACATATAGATAGGACATTTTTCTTCCTTTGATTCAAATGTGCTCTTCGAAATTAGGTAGCAGGACTCCATCTCCGACCTCTAATCATAGACAAATTGCACTTTTTACTCATCATTTAATTTTAAATGTTTGTTCGTTCATTCTGATGATGTAGCTCTTGTCCCCTTTTTTATTTTTGTTTTTGTGTGCGTGCATGTGTGTGTGTGTGTGTGTGTGTGCAAGATGGACGTCTCCCCATTTTGTAATGAATGCTGACATTAAGATCATGCTGCTTGGTTTTAAACATGTTCTCTTCTCCTGTTCTGCTGCAGACAAATGTGTGTAAATACACTACATAAAAGCCTCTCATAAAACATTTTTAGACAGATGGCTGTGGGCAAAAAAAAAAAAAAAAGAAGAAAAAAAAAACACAGCTAACACAGACCATCCTTTTACAACAAGATCTAAATTTGACCACTGCAGCATCAAGTGTGTCAACAATATTTTATCCTGCTGAAATGCCCTTTGGCAAGACCCCATATCTCTGCCACTCACTCACTATAAAATGTAATGTAAATACACACGACTTTTGGTGTGATTCTGAAGAAATGTACTGCTGCACTGTGCTTCCATGTTAACAGATTGATTCATTTCATTTTTAACCATCCTGAAACAATATAATCTGGTTAAGTAACACTACAGCTATAAATGGTCTTTGTATTATCGGCATTAATGGATCCAGTATTAGTTATAATCTGGATTATCCTGCATTAAGCATTTGAGTGAGAATAAGAAGGGAATCTTGTCAGGGAGATCAAGTGGAAAGATCAGGAGTATAGCACACAACTCTAAAACAGAAAGTAGACTAACATCCACACAAGACATTTGTATTTCAATCCGGTGTCTGAGATGTGTCTAATCTGTATATATTTGTGTTACATGTTCTTTTTTGTTGGTTTGACTTGTTGTGTTTGTACATTCCATTTGTTAAAGTCCAAGTTAATATGTTTGTATGTTAACAACACTTGGCCATGTAACATCATAGGTTTTGAGGGAATTAAGTACATAGACAGGATAGTAGCATCTATCATATACTACTGCAGTTATGCATGAGCAATACACAAGATGCTGGACTTTGCTTTCATTTACAAGGTGAATCACAGATGTAACACTTGCGCTATGTTTTGTAGCATTTTCAGTTGAACTCATAACCAAGGTACCATAGAAATCTTGCCAACTGTCTTTGTAACCATGTACTTAATTTGGAAAAATAAATGCATTTGTTGCATGACTTCCATGGTAATTTTCCTGTGTAGTATTTCTTCCACGTCTTCCTTCTCTGGCGAGTGCCCGACTACAAATTAGCGTATGTTACATGTTAATAAAGATTTCTGACGATTCTTTAGTTTTTCTGACATGCTCACAGCGGGGATAACAACCTCTTGAGTTCTTGCCAAAAACTGATTTCTTGAAAGCCATTTCCTTTGGGGAAAAAAATGGAAATGGGAATCCGCTAGCTTTAATTGTATTTTGTCACATTTCCCCAGGTGGAGTTGACAGCCGAGCAGGTGAACTGTAGAAGCCTGGGTTGGACGACTGATAGAGTGGTTTAAAGATGACGCCCCCTGTAATATCTGTATGTATATGTTGGGATGCTGTCAACTTGGCCTGGGGTTTAGGGACACGAGCCCCCTCCATCAGAACAAGAGGCCTCTCCACAGGGTCAGCTGCTGGCCCTAAAGGGGCCCACTCACCCATGACTTAATGCCCCTGGGCTCCTTTGTCCTCGGGGCTGTTGGTTTTACAGGCCCATTCACTCAATTGCCCCCCAAATGGAGGGAGGCAAAGAACGTGACGACTTGCCTTATGCTGAAGGAGCAGCAGTGCACACGCATACAAACAATGCGCACATAAACACACGGGCACCGCATGCACGCCATGTCCACTTAATCAATCTGTCCTCCCTTCTCTCTCATTCTTGTACAAGAGGGTCTTTTGTTCTTGTTTGACCCACACTGAGAGTTGAAAGATGTCAGGGACCTTTTGCCTCTTAATTGGTTATTGGCAGCAGCCTTTCCACCTTATGCTTCATGCATGTATTTAAGGGAAGCAATCCTTCCATTATAGTGACTTATTGACACGTAGAGAGATACCTGTTGTACACAGACGTGTTGGATTTACAAAGCTGTTTCTGTGAGAATTTTTTTTTTAAAAGTTTGCAATCTTTTTTGCAATTTTTTATTCCAATATACTGTAACACTTGACATGCCGTGGTGTTTACAACTCCAATTTTATCACCCAGAACAGGTCCTGTCCCTCTGTGTCTTCTGTCACTGATTTAACCATTCATGGCTCAGTAAGGTGTGTGTGTGTGTGTGTGTGTGTGTTTTCATATGTGTCTAACTTGTACACTGAAGACATGAAACAGCCTGCAGGCGCCCGACCAAATCTCCTCTGCCTTCCTCCTCTGAGCACACACCCATAGGCAAGCGCACCAACTCTCTCTCTCTCTCTCTCTCTCTCTCTCTCTCTCTCTCTCTCTCCCTCTCTCTCTCTCTCTCACACACTCACACACACACACGCACACACACACACACACACACACTGTTTGCCTTTGTGTATGCTAGACAGCAGATGGCAGCCCATTATAGGGCTGACAGAGCAGTCATCTGGCAGGCACCCTGTTACCCCTCCTCCCCCTCTCCTTCCCCCCATTCCCCCGAAGACACCCAGCACAAAACAGCAGGGATAGGACACTTTTAGGCGGGAGAGTCCACAGCCCTGGGATTGTGTGTGTGTGTGTGTGTGTGTGTGTGTATGTGTGTGTGTTACTGGACCCTGGCCTTTCTGCCCAATATAGGTCACTGTTTCCACTTGTGTGTGTCAGCACCGTGTGAGGTAAGCCAGCGCACACTGTAAGCTTCTCTTTGACTGAGGACTTGCTATGTTTTGAAGCAACAGTATGTGGCCTTATCTGAATTTGAATAAATCACTGTCAAGCATATATAAGTGAGTGCCAATCCCAGCTATAAGAGAAGTGATATGTCATACAGCTCTTATTTATCCACATATTATACAGAAACCTTGTTAAAATCTGTAATCTGGTTTTATGTTTCCTACTGAAATAGAGCCACAGGCTAGAGATAAGCCGTAACAGTAACGGCAGTGGAAAGCCCTCTCAGATATTCTTCTAATGAATCACAGTTTGCTCAAGGGGACCAGTGGAGCTGTCTTTTTTTGTAACATTTACGCCCTTCCCTGTGCAAGACATGCCTCCCAAACACTGGCCCCAGAGTGACTGCCTCCTACTGCCTTTATTACAAAGGATTATATCAAACGGTGGGGGAGGAGGAGGAGTGTGTTTCCCCTGCGGAGGTCAAGGCCAAGGTTAGGATTAGGTTTGGTGTTTGTGTCCTCTGCAAGGAGGTAATCTACAGCCCACCCTATAGAGACCCCGCTACGGGGACATGCTGGGAGGCACCACAGAAGAAGACTACGTGTGACTTCTGAGAG